TGTGTGTGCGCGTATGTGTGTATACATTGCGCTAAATTTAACGTAATATAAACGAATGTATATATATATATATATATATAAATGTACTTGTTTGTGTGTGTGTGTGTGTGTGTGAAACAACGAAATCCCTTAAAATGTACGCGTCCGATAACAATGGGGTCTTAGTGTTGTTTATAACAAAAATCTGTATCAACAGAATTTACTCTTGTGAATATATGCTTATATACATAGAAGCATGCATCTATATATACTTATTACTCACGCACACTACTACATTTTATAATATTGTTTAGTTTGAAAAGTATTGCGCTTTAAGAATAGTTATACAATGTTATCTCGATGCTTATGAGAAGAGCGGGATACGAACTTTGATTTTCGCTAAGAGCTCAATATTTTTTTTTTAATTTTTCGTTATATGCACAAGTCGCACGTAAACCACACACGTAAAACTTTGCGATCATTTAACAAGTAAATCCTTGTCAGGTTGAAAAACGTTTATTTTTCATATGACGAAGATTTTTATTGTTCATCTTATTCCTGCTATGATGTGTACACTGACTGCGGATAAATATTTTCAATTAACTTGAACAGAAAGTTCTTTTGAATGACACATACGTGGAATTATCAAATAAGAAGAAGCAATAAAATAATGAAAAAAAAAAAAAATAAATAAAACAAAAATCATTACATATATCGCAAAAAACAAAAAAAAAAAAAAAAAAAAAGTAAATTTCCATAAGTAGAATGGGAAGAAGAAGAAGAAGAAGCATTTATATACATTAACGCGAAAATCATGACATATATTATTTATTCCAATCTACTGTTTTTCTTCTTTTTATTCTGTTCTTGTTTCTTTTTCCTTTTTCCAATATTTTTCAACTTTAAGTCACGTCATTGGTGGGAAATTCATACATTTCTGTCAATTGAAAATCCATTTAAACTTATGCATTGAACATCTTTTCCTCCTCCTCTAGGTAGGCAGTCAGCCAAGTTAAAATGATATACTTGTTATTTTCGTTCATTCGCTTCATTCAACGTCAACTAAACAGTAACGTGTTCCTTAATTATATTCACAAATTTTTAACAAATTTAATCTGCTTATAATTCCTTTAGCATACATATTAACCAAGAGACTTTATCTTAACCAGAGCGCATCGAACAAAGGCTTTTCACTTTTCAATGGCTTCGCAAATTCGTTTACCGCACCATTATACGGAAGCGAAGCAAAATACCTGACACTAACCAACATTTATCTAAAGTTAAACAAAATTAACCCCTTGCCCTTATGTAATACTCAGAAAGAAACTTGAGAATGAATCGAAACTGCACTGACATTACTGATATTACATGGAGTGATCATGAAACTTTACCCATTTTTCGCATATACGTACGTATGTATGTAAACATGAAACATGCCGGAATGATATGGAAAAGATGGAAAATATTTCATCGAATCGTTTTTTCACATCTTTGTAAAAAGCGCTGCTTAACAACTGCACAAGTCTCCAATGCAAGCAAGTGGTGATCGAAAGGACTTGAAGATCGTGAATAAGCTGAAAGGGCTGGCACCTTCCACTTGAGTGCTTCCAATGCATCCGGAGCCGGTTTTGCACTATGCTTCCATATGCACGGATATGCACGGATTGCATATAAAAAGTTCCCTTCTGTTGATTTTCTTGACATTGTGGGCGTCTTCGGAACTATTCAGATCAATTAATGTTCCTTAGCAACATTTGGTAAATTTTAAGAGAACATACATGTCTAGGTCCCACCAAACGCCGCAGGATATCGTCTTTTTACAGCAGCTATTCGGTCTTAACATGGACTGCGATTGTACGCTTGGATTTACTTATGAATTTTTACGCCTGGAATTCGCAATGTAAATCCCGAGTAACGGTACGATGTAAAAGCGATTTTCTTTTTGATGGTTTCTCTGCGAGTGAATTCTACTTTTGGGGTCCAAATTCGACAGGTTCAACTTTATTGCAGTACCATGCTCTTCATATTAATTATGCAGAGTTTTTCTTCCATCCATTATTATTATTATTTTCGATATATTTCACTTAATGATAGTGCATTGGTTTGTGCGGAGAAGCATTTGAGATATGTAGGGTGCACTCTTTGCTATATCAAATAATTTAGAATCATTTTCTGAATCGATTTAAGCAGGTTTGTCCATCTGTTAACCGCACACCTACTCTTTCTTATCTTCAACCTAGTAATCGCAGTTTTCAACATACTTTGGCCTAAGGAAGGAGGCTTTCACGCTCTCTCTCTCTCTCTATAGGAAGCCCTATTTTATTTGATAAGTCATTTTTTGGAAAAATTCCCCAGTTTTAATATGTATCCGCAAATATAGGCTAAACAGAGGATTTTCGTATAACAAATGATTATAAAGGAAATTTGATTGAAACGGGATAATTTATTGAATCCGTCCTCCACATAAACATATTTCTGCAACAGATAAGGCAACAATGCTTCCAAAGTTGTGATTACGGATACAAAATTTACTGCGACAACTTTAGACTAAATAGATTCACTTTTTGGGAATCCTAATATGATCTTTCGTATTTGATGCCGAGGATAAGTGAGGAATTATTTTAGGCGAAGTACTCCAGATCTAGATTTAATAGTCGTTTTTGCTTGCATTTTTATTTAATCAATCCTTAGTCGATAATTTGGTAGCTTTGAGGCATATACCGTTTCATTCCTCCTTATTGCTCCATTTAGCTGAATATTGCTTATAGGCGAATGGCATATAGATGTCGTCACTAAAACACCTATAACTTACAAACTAACGATTAGAACTTTAATGAGAAAATTTTGTTTGGAGATTGGTACCATCTGAAGATCATATAAATTCGCCAATTGTCATTGAGAGAAAATTCCTTTCAAATTCTTCTCATCTTTTTCTATTATATGATCATTTTATTTAAATGAAATTGTTCTGACAATCGGTAAACCTATCATAAAATTTCAAATCATCTAAGAAGTGAAAGCTAAGCGTATGATTTCCATATGTGCATTAGAAACTAAAAAGGACGTTGCATTAAATGTGAACGTTTGAATCGACAGAACCGGATATGTTGCCTTTAATTTTTAACGTTTTTCTCCTTGCCTAACTTTTAACACTGAACACAAGATCTTCAATTTTTAACCTAAGTAACTAACTCACGTTGAATACATTAAAACTATAAACTGACATGTGTACAATCAATTCACATATATAATCAACGATAATGCTGCTCACACAGGCGATTAAGTCATCAACGGAAGTCAACATTAAGCATTAGTCGAGGAAAATTACTACTTTCGTTGCGTCATTTTATGAAAGCATTGCTCGAAGCAAGTCTCTTTACATTTGGGAATGTAAAGGGGACGACGCGACAACTTGATAATTACTAAGTACATTTACAGTAAGCAAAAACAAAATATAAGGTGCAAACATTTTCATATACACATTTGAATGTATGTTTGCCACCAGTAAATTACCAGCATTAGGAAGATTGCACTGGCATCATAACAGACGACCACAATCCGTAAGACCATATAAATTACATCTACATGTATTACATAGTTATATAAAAATTATATAACAAGAAAGGCTATTAACTCTTTAAAGCGTTAAGTAATATTCGTTTACTGGGGATTATATTAAATCTACGCCAAAATAGTTATGCGGGCAAAAAATTCATTTTTATTTATTTATATTATTTATTTTCATTTTTTTAAAGGGGTTTTGAGGCTAAAATTTAATTCAATATTATGACTGCATAGGACTTAGGTATTGTAACAAATGAAATGTTGTGAAATATATCCTCCTGCTAATAATTCCCCTAAAGAGGAAATTATCGTAGCTTGAGAAAGTGTTTTCATTGGTACGGAAGTAAGACAAGAAGAACTTATTAATGAACTTATTATTGATTATTAAAAAATAAACTTTAGCTTTTGAAAAATATTAGAAAATGACAGAACCAGGACCATTCTCACGAGGCATCCTTAATTTAAGGTGCTCGACTACTGCATTCACTGTAACTTACGCTAATTTCGACCAAAGAGAAAAAAGCCATGCAATCCCTATGCTAGTGCAATATGTAGGCGGAATTGTGAAAATGTAGATTTTTATGTGATTGGCAAGAGAAAGGAAATCGAAACTCCCCTACATCTTGCAGTAGACAATACTTTTTTATAAAAAGATCAAGAGAACTGGATCGGTATTCGTACGCTTGGATATCATTTGATTCTCAGTACATAGATCATTCAGCTTTAATACGTAGCTAACTAATGCTCCAAATTACAAGGTGATCAATACAAATTGTATCAATAGGTATATAAAAACATACTTACTTACATATAAACATTTTAGCATATAATCGGACTCTCACGCTCAATCTCAAATTGCATAAGTTATTATGCATATACAAATTGCATATGCCTATTACTGTCTGAGTGGCAATTTTAATGACACTAGTGGCTTTGGTTTTATGCTACATATCCACATTTTGATTGAATGGTCATATAATTAACATAGTCACAAGGTAATACAAGTGTCATTCTTAAAAGTATTATTGTAGTCATGGTATCACTCTTGTTGAGTTCTTCTTATATATTTCATTATATTACCTATAGAATTATTATTCATTTTTTTAATTGATTGGCGCCAGATCAGTGTTGTTAGCCTTTATATATCTTACGTCCATTTTTATGAACCGTTTGTTCTTCATTTCTTTTTTTCTTTTTTTTCTTTTTTTTTTTTGATCAACTATAGGATACATTACACGTCGTATAAGCAAATTTTTCATTTCATATGCGCGCTCTAGTCCGTGTCCAGTTTCATTCTTTAGTAAAACAAACACTTTTTTATTAAATTTACAGTTAATTACATTCGTATCATAGTTAAGTTTCTGTCATTTCACAATGAATTTTGTGTTCAAATGATTGAAAAATGTAAACAGCAAACACAGTCTAATATCTTTTCTTCTCTATTTTAATTGAATTAGATAATGAAAACTCAACATGCAGGCAAACGGACTTACAACCGAGGCAAGTGATTACAACATCCCGAATTGAAACAACAACAATTTTTGCTTTATGCTAAAAGACAGTGAATATTTCCAAGCTTTCTTTTGATCGAGTTACAACCAGCTTTAGAAATTTGCAACTACAATCGATAGCTCTCACACTCGCACTTTGCCAAATGTCGTCAACACGCAGATAGACGGGCCAGGTAATCCTAGTCTAACGAATTTGGTGTCTACATCTCTTAGAAACAGGAGCCTTGCAAGATTTCGCGAAAAATTTCTCAAATAGATCAAGTACAAATTTTAATATTCATAAATTTAATTTATTTAATTAACTAACTAATTTATTTAACTAATTTGTAAACCAACTAAAATTGTTCTTAAATATTTTTCAATACCTCCTTATTAATATTATTATATAAGAAATTAACAGGTATAGAAATTAGAAAACTAGTTTTTATTCATTTTAATTAATTACACGTAAAAACATGTATAGAAATTACAAAACGAATTTTTATTCATTTTATTTAATTATCTTTTTTAATTAAAATTATTTATTTTAATAGATATTTTTTTATTTTTATATATCATATAAAAACATATTATACTCAATAAAATGATAATAATAAAATAATAATTTCATTGTTGTTTCGTTCATTTTTTAGGGTTTTACAAAAAAAAAAATTTTTTTTGAATTTTTTGAAAATTTAAAAAAAAAAATTTTTTTTGTTGTTTTTGTAAAATTTTTTCCAAAAATTTTTTCCAAAAATTTTTTTGGTGGTTTGGGTTTTTGATAATTTTTGTTTATAAACATTTTGTGCATATAAACATTTTT